TAGCAGACGCTTTTATCCAAAGCGACTTACAAATGAGGACAAGAAGCAATCAAAACCAACAAAAGACCAACAATATACAAGTGCTATATTAGTATATTATTATAGTGTTATATTTCAATTTCACAAAGAAATGTGCAGGATTTTGTCCAAGCAATAATAAAAGGACACATTTAATTTATAATTTGTCTTAAATCTCATTTTGTAAAAAAAAATCGTGAGTTGAGTGAATCGTTACATCTCTATTTACCACTGATCATAATAACACACTGCATCATATCTGCTGAATGAAGTCCAACACTCGTTTCTTACTGATTCCAGAAATAGCTTCTGTTTTGCAGTTTCACGTCACACTTTCTCACTAAATATGATGCATTCAGTAGCGTTTTTGCCTTCTCGAATCGTGAGTTGAGTGAATCGTTACATCTCTATTTACCACTGATCATAATAACACTGCATCATATCTGCTGAATGAAGTCCAACACTCGTTTCTTACTGATTCCAGAAATAGCTTCTGTTTTGCAGTTTCACGTCACACTTTCTCACTAAATATGATGCATTCAGTAGCGTTTTTGCCTTTGAGAATCATTTGTGTGATGAATTAGTCTTGCATTCTCCCTTAATCAGCGAAAAAACACTACAAACACACGATTCCTGTCTGAATCTGAGCCAGATTACAACTATCTGATCAATTCTCGGCCCGTTTTCACGTGTTTGACATCATTTTATTTCTAATCCTGATTTCATTGTTAGAATTATGGAAAATGCAAACATGAGCAGATGTTTCCTGGCTTTACTGCATCCAAACAGACAGAAAATTACAGATTTTGTGAAAAACGCTTGGTTTGTAAAGTTCTTTGGCGTTAAATGGAGTATGTGAACATATTTTCCCACTCCTTTAAGTTAAATAATTAATTTTGGATACTTCTTTTTGCCATTAAAAGTAAACTTTTGACATTTGGCTGCTTTGATAAGTGCATTAAAGCTGATACATATGTATAATATATAAAATCATAATTTTTATTTTGTGAAAAGATACATGATGGAACTCCGCATCATCAAATTAGGTCGCATTAGACCATTTTTGCAAATCAGCACAATTATTTCCAAGATGCAGGGCTGCTTTTGCTGGTATATTTTGTGCACATGATCTAAAATAATTTTATAAAGCGGAGAGTTCCGGTGCTTGGCTCTGATTGGCTGAGCCGCGTTCGAAGCTGTTGTAAATGACGCTACAAAGTAACACACACCTTTGTTTACGTTTGTGTGTTGCTCGGCAACCACTTTGTAGCAACCACAACTGTTTCTGAGGAGCTACATTGTTTGGTGGAAGAATACTGTGTTTATTAATATCATTACACTTTATTTGCTCCGTTTTATTTTGTGAAACCTTACTACGTATATGGAATAACCGTTTTATAAAAGCAGTAACCCCCGTGAAGCCATGGTTTACAGTGAATTTATAACAGCTAAGGGGGTTTTAGGCACTCATTGCTTTAAGTCACCACTTCAAATGTATTTTGTTACTGTTCCTTAAGCAAATTATCAAAGTTTTGTTGTTCTGCCAAAGCCAGATTTGAGCCATGTTTAGAGAGTGTTAATATTGTACACAGAGGTGAATGTAATCAATATAGAGTCTCCTCAGAACGTCAGATTGAGTTACGCTGCTGCTGCTCTGAAATCTGAAGGTTCGTCCACACCGTCGTCTTCCAGCAGCTCACAACAGGTGCTCATTTTTCAAGAAATTAAAGAAATTAGTTCTTTTATTCATCAAGGACGCATTCAATTGATCAAAAGTGAGAGTAAAGACATTTATAATGTTGCAAAAGATTTCTATTTCAAATAAATGCTGTTCTTCTGAACTCTCTGTTCATCTGTGAATCCTGAAAAATAAAATGCATCACAGTTTCCACAAAAATATTGTGCAGCACGACTGTGTTCAACACTGATAATAATCAGAAATGTTTCTCGAGCAGCAGATCAGCATATTATACTGATTTCTGAAGATCATGTGACACTGAAGACTGGAGGAATGATGCTGAAAATACAGCTGCGCATCACAGAAATACATTACAGTTTAACAGAGATTCACATAGTAAACAGCTGTTTTAGATTCTAATAATATTTCACATTTTTACTGCATTTTTGATCAATAAATGCATCCGACCCCAAACTTCTTAACGGTAGTTCTCTCTGTTTTTGACCCTGATGTGAACACCCGAGTGTTTCTTTATTACGGAATCGAGCTCGTGAACTGTCCCGATATAACCGTATTCCTGTCCTCTAACTAAACAGCAGCTCGTTTAGCTTCCTTATTAAATTAGCTCCAGCTCTTCGGTGACCATAAATCATCACACAAACCTGATGCTGGTGTTTTTGTGCAGAAGCGGCAGATATTTTGTAGCCACCTGTAATGGATTATTGACCTTTTATAGCGTTCCAGAATCATATCCTTATAATTAGAACTGAGAAGCTGTGAATCTCCGCAGGATCCGAGATGAAGATGCTGCGGCTGGTTATCGAGTGATTGCTTTTATCACGCTCTCTTTGTTGCGTCAAACCTGTAAGACTTTCTTCTGTGCACAAGAGGAGGATCTGGTGACTGTTTCTCATAGGCTCCTGTGAAGAGGAAGTTTGAGTTCAGTAAAGAGCGTCTGGAAGCCGCCGGTCCACTAAAAGCTGGATTAGTTTCAGCTTTTGTCTTCTCCAGATGTTAACTGATGGACTGGAGTGCTGTGGATT